TACCATATTGAAAAATATACTATTTTTGTATGATAATTATGGGTTTTGTATTTTATTTTAATAGAAGTTGATGTTGCTTTTGCAATTATCCATCAATTTTTTAAAATTAAACACTATCTACAGATTTGCATCGAAGCGTTTCTTATGATAGTGATTTTAATCACTGTCAGATTAAATCTATACTGGACCCTACTATGCAATGTCTCCACTATGCCGCGACCTTACTGTGCTACCGTTTTTTTTAACTATTCTGAAATTATTACATCATATTTAGTAAAAGATGTACAAAATTTGAGTTCCGTTGAGTTTAACCGAATTTTTGCATTTTTAAAGAGTGTCATTGAAAAAAGCTGCTATTTCGAGTATAATTTATTTTGGTATAACTTACAATTTTAAAATTTGAAATACGTAGTATTTCTGGAACATCTTCAAAAATTAAGTTGAAAAAGTTGAGTTTTGTAAAAAAAAATTGTTATTTTGAATCCCCTTTTGTGAGCAGATAAAAGGTCAGATTTTTAAAAATATTATATCAAATAATAGGGAAATATCTAAGGTTTCAATATAAAAAAAAACATGTTCATTTGTTCATTTTTCAAAAAGTTATTGAAATTTTTAGAAAAAAAAAATAAAAAAATATTTTGAAATTTACAGATTATAAAACTAGTAATTTTTTTGGAGATTTCTACCTTTTACGGGGAACGAGGGCAAAATTTTCATTATTATAAGATAATATCTTTGACAAGATACCATTTAAAATCTGTTAAAGTATCATTAAAAAAGTTGGTTCATTGAGAGATAAGAAAAACAGACTCCCATGATATAGCTAGAAATTTTTTACTTAAGTAACAGTTTAACCACTTTTCTTATCTGTAATAAAATTATATTATTTATAAAAAAAAAATTAATTTATTATTATTATTTTTTTAATTATTTAAATATTAAATTTTGTTTGATTTATGATAACTTTTTTTCATCTTAATCGTCATCAATTTTTTATGGTTATTATATTTTTAGTTTGAAATTTATATTATTTAATTGATATTATATTATTATTTGAAAATGTTTTTCAACCCTCAACAATTTACGATAAATTTATTATTTTAAGAGAAATTGAGTGGCTAGTATTAAAAGAATCACCCTGCATATAAATTATCCACATTAATATATTGATAATTTAAAATTAACTGTCAAAATTATACATACAATCATAAATTAAGTATTCCCAAACCAGCTAAATACATTTAATATACAGTTGTTCAGTAAGTAAGGAAACGGGTCAATTGTTACAAACAATGAAAACAATAGATACCCGTTTCCTGACTTACTGAACACCCTGTATAATTATCAATATAGATAATTCAAATACAATATAGTTAATGCATCCATCACTCCTTTTAATATTTGAAGTTTATTTACAATACTGGGTATTAAATATCTGTAAAGAATGTCAATTTGATTAAAATTAACTCATATTTTTGACTAATATTCAAGTCTTTGTTTTTTTCAAATTATTTTCTGATTCCCTGAATTTAGAAAAAGATAACCAATACATTTACAATGAAATCAAAAAAATGTCTTTGGATCGTATTAAAAATTACCCTTGTAACATGTATTATGAATTAATCCATAACCAATCTTGATATATTAATAAAACTTAGCTCAATTACATTATTTATTCCCCTAGCCAATAGGTACCTAAAATTGATTTTTTTTTTTTTTAACAATATTTTAAGTGTTAATCTATTGATGTAAATTAGCTAATAACCTTTACTGCAAATATTCATGATATTGATAGTTAAATGTACAAATAAAATAAGTACATATTCATACATTTTTCAAAGATTTAATTTAAAGTTTAATGTCACAGCATAATAAAATGATAATTGGATATTTCTAAATGCTTTTAATGGCACCATAAATAACTAATAAATTAATTTTATCCCAATCGAGTACAAGAAATTACTCTATCGTCCAAAAATGCACTAAACATAAGAAGAAAATCATTTGTAAATTTTTGAATTACACTTATTTTTAATGACATTTTTATTTAAAAATAACAGCAGTCAAGAAGACATTATCAATATCAAGCTGTAACATTATTTTTATGTGTTGGATGATATACCTAACATGATAGAATTTAATCAAGTATGTTACTAATATCTACTAATATTTTACTAATAACTTACAAATATATATCAACCAGGAAAAGTAAAAATTTTTTAAATAAAAATAATAATAATAAATAAATAATTTTGACTTATTTTCTAATGATATTTTTAAAATTCACCAACTGTATGCGTAATTTAAAAAGTTTTGAGGTATAAATTGCTTTTTATTTTACTTATCCCATAAAAATAGAAAAAAATTATGTTACATTTGTCTGTTGATACAAACTTTATCTTTTGCATGATTATTAATAAAATTAACAATAATTAAGAAAAGTATTAAATGTTTGCTTTTATTAATTACTGGTGGTAATTTAACTTTTACATTAGTTGGAATTTATAAATAACACGAAAATTTTTTTAATTAATTTTTTTTTATTTAGATTAACTGTGGTTTAAGTTATTTTATCATATAAAAAAACACATTATATGGAAATTATTAATTTTTTTTAATGACATGTTTAATTTATTTAAAAAATTAAAATTTATAAAAGTATTACAATTTTGAAACGATAATAGATACCTTATTTAATGCCTCTTTTTTGAAAAATATGTTATAACATTTATTAAATAGTTATTATAGGATAATAATATCGATCATAAACTATTAATTATATAAATAAAATAATCAATTATCCTAATAGAAAGTCAAAAACAAGTTTTTTAATAGAGATAAAACTTTGGTTACTCAAACAAAATTTTAAAATCTGTGTTGTAATTACCCTTAAGCTTCACATTAATTGGATCGACTATAAATATACCATCAACAACCTTAACTTATTGTACTACTTGTTGTTTATTCTATATTTATGCTAAATCTTTATATTCTACATCTTCATCAAGTCTGAAATAATATTTATTTAGATATTCTATACATTTTGTTTAATTTTGAATGTTTCAAAATTTCATTTTGAAAGTGTTCTGAATCTATGCTTGTGATTTATATTATTATTGATATTATTTCCATGTCTAATTTATTTTAATACTATAAAAAATAATACTATATTTATCTCTCTGTTTATTGTTAGAAATGAGTCATTACCACAATAAGAGAATTCAATTTGAAGAAGTCAATTTAATATGAAAAAGCTCAGAAATTTTAATAATTAACATATGGTATTATTCCCTTCTTTCCTACGCCCTTTAACACTTTTCTCATCATTGAACCAAAATTTTATTAAAATAAGATGTTTTAAAACGCCAGAGGTTTAAAATATTATTGTTTTTAATTGAAGTAAATATTTCAATTACGTTAATAATATTTAAATTATCACTACTTTTAACAACTTCATTTGAAAACAATAACAATTTTATTGTTAATTCGTTTTGTAAAATTATTGATTCTTATTGAAATATCCAAAAACATATGTGATAGTAAAATTTGTATTTATTTTTAATACATATATTTTTGTTATTAATTACTATAAAAATTATAGGAAGTTACCTATAAAGAATTTAATGTAAATAGCTAAACTATTAAAATTTTAATTTGTTCACAATAATTTTTTTTGTTTTTATCTGACATGTATAAATGTTTAATAATATGCATAGCTAATTTGTTATAATGTGCCAATATACAGGTTTTATTATTATTTATATACATCTTTATTATTGTTACCTTGTATGCATTTATTTATTTATTTTTAATTGTTGAAGAAATGTCAAAAAAAATTCAAGTCATCAATAAAATCATCATTCATTTGTCAAACATTAATTTCATTGTTTATATATATATAATTTCATAAAACTTTTCTCACTTTTTTTAAGTTGAAATGAATTGTATAAGAAGTTATAATATAATAGTTATATTCTCAGTGTAGAAGATTAATTATAGTGTAAAAATTATTAATAATATCTATCATGTTAAATTACAACTTATTATTTTTTAATTTATAGAGTAAAATATATTTTTTAGTTTGTCTTTCATGTAATGACTAAATACAACATAATATTTATATACTGTATATTGGTAAATCAAATTATTTATACTTCAAGTATTAAGAAAAAAATGTATTATATTATTGTACTTATAGTTTTAATTGAGGCATTGACTTAAAAATAAATTAATGTTAATTTTCTGTCACTTTTTTTATTTAATTGTGTAACAGTTCTTTTATCTATTTTTATTTATGTTATTGAATAACATTGATTTATGTTAATTATATCAGTTAACCAAATCTAAAATTTTTATCATGTTGGGGGCTTTATAAGAAATATTATTTCTTCCCCTCTACATTTTATCATAATTTAGAAACATTTTGATTTTATTGAAAGTAAATATTTAATTTTTTTACAATTAATGAAATACTATTTTTAATAGTAGTAACTACTTATCATTTTTATATTAGGGGTTCATTATTGATGATAGGCTAAAATATATGATTGTTAAATAATTATTATAAATTGAACATTGTATTTCAGAAAATGAATGTGACTAATAATAATTCTGAATATCACTAAGTTCCTCTTTATTATTAGTTAAAAACATTGAAAAATATTTGAGTTACTACCGTTATTTTAAGAATATTTTGAATTATTAGTACAATAAATACATTAGAACTTCAAAAATGCATATGCCATTTATTTATTTATTTATTATGCCATATATTAAAAAAATTATTTTATTACTACTTTTTACCACGAATATTCTTTAATTATAATTTTTGCATTTGCTTAAGCAAACTAAATATTATAATAGGTAAAAATCTTATTTGGCATGTTAATTACTACTGACAAAACTTAAATTGAAGGAGCTCAAGACAAATTGAACATGATGCTTCAAGAAAAAAATATCTTTACTTAGCAAGAAGAAAATGTTGGTGCCCTTTTATTATTATTCAACAATAATTTGATTTTATAAGGAATTGATTATATATACTTTTAATTCTAGTTTTTAAATATTATTAAAAGCATAATTAATAATATTAAATATACATTTATTTATATTTAAATAAAAATATACTTTTTAGTTATGATATTACAGAGAAAAAAATGATTCATCATTCATTATACCACTAAAATTGTTATATCTTTAAAAATAAAACTTTTCACAGGGTAGGCTACATAATGATACCAAAATTTTAATACATAAATTTTTTAGTTAATTGAAGGTGTAACTCCATTATTCCATTGTATTTCAATATATGGCCATTTAGTTTGTAAGCAAGACTGTAAGTTGTTATCTTCAGCAATACAAATTACATCAGATTCTTGGATAACTGCATTCCCTTCAATGTAAGTCACTTTGGAATTAGGATTAGATCTAGGTTGTCCATTATAATGAAATACCACAAAAATATCTGGCGTTTTATTTTCTTGATCAGAAAAAAACTCGTCCATAAAAGATGGCATCAAAATTATACCAAGACCTTCAGAATCCAATTTTGTTGACATTAAATTCACACTAAAAAAAAAATTAATTATCTAGCTAATAAATATCATTATTATTAGATAGTTTTCTTACTACTCGTCATCAGATACTAGGTCAAGCTTTTCTAATAATGGTTTTAAGCATTGTGTGCTTATAAAATTATTTCCATCCTGATCAAACAGCTTAAATGTCCGTCTAGCTATGTCAGCTTGTGTTTCTTTACTGACCAAATTTTGATCAAAAGAAAACAATACTAAACATTTATAATTAAATTACATAAAAATTAATGTAATTTTATACATAGATGAAATTCTTAAAAAATATAAATCACTTTATTATATTACCAGTGAGATGTGTATCACTACCTAATACCCAGACAGGATTACATGGATTTTTTAGATATGTTCCAACTTGACAATACCTTAAATGTTCTAATAAAGACATAAACCCAATTTCACTTTGCTTTTCAATGCCTTGCAGCTCTAAATAAAAATATAAATTATTATTAGGGTTCAGAAGACATGCATTTATAAATTTTGTTTGAGTTACTTTGAAGGGTTTTAAGTAGGAATATATAGTAGAATAGAAATATTTTTTTTAGGAAGTCAGCGTAAGACTCCTTTAATTTTTCACAAAACTATAACTTCAGTAATAACATATTACTAAGTTCTCAAGTCAATTAATAAAAATGTACACTGCCTGTTGGTGTGTTCAGAATAACAAAATTTATAAATGTATATAATTTCAGGTTCTATTATAATAGATTCCAATAATTATCACAAATTGTTTTTTTAATTGCAAATGAAATTTGATTATAATTAAGAAATACATTTTAAAAATTTATTCAAATAAGTAAAGTATTTGTAAGCTTATGCATTTATACATTTTGTTAGAGTAGTCATGAAAACAAATATTACTAAATTGACGTATTTGTAGCTAAATTCAAAACTAAGCAATATATTTCACTTGTAGCATATCAACAGAAGAGTTTAATTCCCATTTTTTTTGTGTTATTTCGCTTAAGTTTCTTTAAGATGGCTCAATCAAAAGTTATAAATACATGAACTTAAAAGCCCTGTACATAATTTACAGAGGAAATTTTAGGCATGGCACCTTCTTCCTTTTTGTTTTAATTATCGAACTTTCAATGTAGATATATATTTTGAGCCTAAAGAACAAGGACAAGTTTTCTATGGTTCATTTATTACAGATAAATGCTCAATTTACAAATATTCTTTACATTTTTTAATTCATGAAAATTACAATTATGGTTATTACACAGAATAGAAATATCAAAATAATTACTATGTTTACTATAATGGTAATAAATTTTTAAAATATTATTCATAATCTTTTTATCTTTTAGCTGAATATCGGAGCTGAAATACTAAAAAATGGACTACAGTACAACAGAAAATTATGATTGACTGCAAATACTTTGTAGAGATAATATATAATTTCTAATCCAAAAAATTTGACTAACATATTACGATTAAGTTCTCAGGAATATTGAAAAAATAATGACAAATTTTACTAGAGAAATGGTATTTAATTTAAAGAAATTTTACTTAGTTTATTATGCTCTAACTATTTTTTTAATTTTATATAATTTTAACTACTAACATAATATTTAACTTATTAGGATAATTTATGCATTTAAAAATTTATATTTTATTATATTATATTATATATATGATATTCCCTTCATTTTTATTAAAAAAAGATTGTATTAAATAATTTAAGATGTTGGTTTGAATGAAACCTATATCTTCTTGCTTTAAAAAGCCTACCTTAAGAAATCATAATCTTTATTTTAATAAAATATTGTAACTCACTTAATCCAGCCACTACTTGGTCATTATTAAAAACATTAGAAACAGCTTGTCCAGTAATCATCATATTAATCAAACTTTGACTACCATAACCAAATTCTTTATCAATCAAAGGAACTTCAAGATCACTAATTTCTTCTTTAAGTTTTAATAAACCCTAACAATTATTCAAGTTAATTAATTTGCTAAAATTTTAAAAGTATTATTACTAAATTACCTTAGAATGCATAACAGTATACAAAAATAACAATATACCAAATGTGTCACGCATAAAACTAACATGTTCATAGAAAAATGTTTCAACATTATTTCTGTTAACTATTTCTACCCTAGAAAACAATAATTAAAATTATTATTTTAAATGTTACCTAATAAGATTCAAATTAGAAATTTACAGAGTGATTAATTGATTGATGACCATTTGATTTCTTCTTAAATAACAATAACTTTTAGATTTTTTTTGATACTTGTATGATTGCTGGTTAAGTATAATATATATGATAATGATAAGTCATTTTTATTTAGTTGGAACATTTTCTAAAACGTAAGCTAGCTTAATATGAATGTCATCAAAAAATTTAAATGATCTCTTTTTAAGGCATAATGAATGGACCTAATTGGTATTTAATGATTCATCAATTGAGCAATACATGGACTTAAATAAATTAAATATAAAAATTCTTAGCAATATTTATTTAAGAGAAATCAATTGTTCAACAGTTGATCAGTTATCATATATGTACATACTTAAGCATCGAATGAAAACGGCTATGCTCTAGGCATATTTCTTTATTATCAATATGTACAAACTTTAGTTGATCATTACCAACTGTTGCTTGACATAGAATATCACAAGCCGCTTTTGTTAATAAATGATTTTGTTCATCATTCTCAACCTGAAAAGAAATATATCAATAATTGTTACGTTTTAAATAAAAAATATAAAGAGATTATATACCTTTTTCCAATCATCATCTATAGATTTGTTTTTGACAATATTTTTTACAATATAAGCTTGCATAGGTGCTAAAACGGCACAAGGACCTCCTTCAAACTGCACCAGAGCAGTAGGTTCATCATCACTAAAACTAAATCCTGTTAACAACAAAATATTAGATAGCATTGAATAAAAATATAAGACTTAGTTAACAGGTTTATGTATTAACAGCAAACGAATACCTTGAGTCCACCGTTGAAATATATCTTGTCGCACCTGCTGTCCCCAAGTTAATTTAATAATTTCTTCTAGCTCTTTGTCGACAACATTTTGTGGCACTCCGAGCGCCGCCATTGTCACTCTTTATAACCTACTCATTGCGATAAGTTTCTATAACAAGTTTCAATTACTTCTGAATAATTTAAATAATTTTCCCAATGTTATTTATCAATTTTGAAACTTATACATATTAAGCCTACAATAAAGCAAAAAGCTATCACCAATAAAATGACTACAATTTATTACATAACCTAAATTTATCATTATCACGTAAGTATAGAAAAATTATTTTTAATAAGTTGTAATATCCGATAACACATTGATCAATTTTAAATGGTTATATGAAAGCGATTGCAATTTGAGTATTAAAATATTTTATTAATGAATTAATTTAATCATAATTTCTATTCTGTTTTATGAAATGACGTCTTAAAAAATAATCGTTTTGGCCACACTGTATTAGACCCTTTTACATTTTGAGCTGTAGTCATGAATAGTGTTTATTTTTGATAGATATTTTATCTTCGTTTAATTTGATTTCGTTGCGAGTAATTTTCTTCTTCATTTAGCTTTTTAAAAAACTATTAGTTGTACTTATTCAAAGAACACCTTTGGAATATGAAACAACAGAATTAAAATAATTATAAGGTAATTTATTGTATTAATTTTTCTTACATTCTTTAAATTTTTTAGAACATGGTATTAATAACTGTACAGCTTAAATATTTCGCAATATGTAAAATGAGCTATTATTGCATGTCCTTTAAGTTGTCAAATATGGTATCTAAGCATGTTCTTCCTTATTAATATAAATGATATCGATTCTATTAAAATATTTTAATGAACTAATTATTTAAAAAAATACTTATTTTAGATATTTATTCAATAAAAATGATGTTTGTAAACATACATTTATTAATCAATATAAATTTTTTTGACCAAAATTATGAATAAGTTTTATTTGATTCAAAGTAAATATTCTTCTATAATTTTTAAAACTAGTAATATTTTTCAACATATCTAAATTATATTATAATGGCAATAAAAAATAATGATTTTAATACCAATTATTAATAAGTGAGAATGGTAATGCTATAAGTGAATTATATATGTGTATAATCATATATAAGACATTTTTCATAAAATGTGGGTAAACATTTTTATAATGTCTACTTCAGTAGTAAAATCATTATTTTGTTATATTTAAATTCAAGTTTTATTAATAAATTGAACCAATTAATAAAGTGATATAATGTTATAACATAATATTTATTAGCATAATTTCTTCAAATTGTTTAATAGTATTATAATTTTTGTTAAAATAGTTTCTTTTTATATTAATTGTTATATTTTGTATAAATCAGAATAAATATTATACTACCTAAATTTTTAGGTAATAGTTAAAGAAATATTTCATTATGTCACTTAAACCTAAACCAATTAACTTTACGGAGAAATGGAATAGTCTTCAAGAAACTGTTAAGGGTGTGATAACTTTAGATCGTGTACCTAGAGAAGCTTGGAATGAGCGGTTCAATGATGTATATTCAATGTGTGTGGCATTTCCAGAGCCTCTTGGGGATCAACTTTATGATTCTACTAAGTTATTTCTAGAAAATCATGTTCTTGAATTACTTAGTATCATACAAACAGGTGGAACAGCTAATCTTTTACAAAATTATTACACATATTGGCAAAAATATAGCAAAGGTGTAAAATATCTACATTCTCTATACCAGTATGTATTAATTGTTTTAAAATTGTATTTTAAAATAGTATGTACAATATATTATTTTAGATATTTAAACAATCAACATATTAGAAAACATAAATTATCTGAAGCTGAAGTTTTATATGGAAACATAACACCTGATGCTACTGAACAAATGGAAGTCGGGGAGCTAGGACTTGATGTATGGAAACATAATATGATTGTACCTCTTAAAGATAGTATGCTTGGTCTATTATTAGATGAGTTTGATAAACAAAGACAAAATATTTCTACAACTACATCATTAGATATAATATCAGGAGTTATTGATTCGTTTGTTGTTGTTCAAGAATTCAGAAAAAAACATCCTTTAGAAGTAAAATACATTAAACATTATTTTGTAATACTTTATTTTCTATGTTCAGAACATAAAAAGCTTTTTATTTTTACAGCTATATCAGAGTTATTTTGAAAGACCATTTTTAGAACAAAGTAGTGAACATTTTAAACGTGAAGCTGCACGACTACTACAAGAGTGTTCAGTATCAGAATACATGGTTAAGGTTTTACAAATTTTAAAAGAAGAAGGAATTAGATCAAAAAAATATCTTCATGACAGGTAAATTTCTATTACATATATTTAAGGTTAACATTTTTATTTAAATATCCCTTACATAACTCAATTTTAATATTTTTATATATTTTTTTGTGTTAATAACAAATGTAAAAATATATATGTTTATTACTCTCCCTGTTTGTAATCGCCAATGGCTATTGTTGCTAAAGCTTTATTTAAAAATAAATAATCAATTACTCATAACTTTTTCTAATATTGGATTATTAGATATTTGTTCAAATTTTTACATCTTTCCATTTATATAATATTATTTTTTAATAAAATTATAAATGGATATAATAATCATTAAATTACAAATTTTTTTTTTACTGTATATCAGTTCAAGTATTGAACAAAAAAATTAATACTAATTAAATTTATAAGGCTAATATCAGCCAGGAATAAGTATTGGTTTCAATATTCTCTACTTTTAAATATTTTATTCAAAGAACTTAAATTATGTTTTAATATTTTTAGTACATATGGAAAAGTTCGAGAGCGATGCCGTCAACATATGGTTGGTGACCATTTAGCATTTTTACATGGTGAATGTGAATCAATGGTAAAAGAAGAACATCGAGAAGATATGCACAATATTTATTTACTTCTACGAGAAGTCAAAGATGGAATGATTAAATTAGTAGATATATTTCGAGAACATATTAAACAACATGGGATTAAAGTTATTGAACTATTAAAACCTGAGCAAGTATGTTTTAATTAAAAAATATGTATTTATTCTAAAATTAATCTTTTATATACAATTATAGATTTATGTTCATTTTGTTGAAGAAGTTTTGGCTGTTCATAAAAAGTATAAATCTATGGTTATTGATGTATTTGAAAATGATCTGTGTTTTAGTGGTGCTTTAGATAAAGCATTCACAGTTATTATCAACTATAAACAAGTTAAAAACCAACCATCTAAATCTCCTGAATATTTATCCAAGTATTGTGACAACTTGTTAAAAAAATCATCTAAAGGCATGTCAGAATCTGAAATTGATGATAAACTCTCACAATCTATTACAATATTCAAATATGTTGATGATAAAGATGTATTTCAACGATTTTATCAGAGACATCTTGCAAAACGCTTAATTCATCAACAGAGTCAATCTATGGATGGTGAAGAAGGCATGATTAACAAATTAAAAGTATAAAGCTTTAATTAGTTTTATAATATTGTAATTTATTAATGCTTATAATTTGAATCATAGCAAGCATGTGGCTATGAATTTACCAATAAATTACATAGGATGTTCACTGATATCAGAGTTTCTGAGGGATTAAACACTAAATTCCATAATGAATTTCTACCAACTTCAGGAGGAGAATTAAATGTTACTTTTTCCATGTATGTTTTACAAACTGGAGCTTGGCCTTTGGGATCTTCTCCAGTATCATCATTTGTAATTCCTGAACAATTAATACCTTGCATGCAATATGTAAGTATAAAAAATAATTTTGAAATATACCCTATTATAATTAAGTTGAAAACTAATTATATTTTAAAATTCCATTTAAATTTTAGTTTGAAGAATTTTACAAAAAAAAGTTCAATGGCCGTAAATTAACATGGCTTCATCATCACTGTCAAGGTAAAAAATAAACTTAATAATTATTCCAGTAATGATAGTGAAGCCCTATGAAATTTTCCTGATCTTCTCTTCGATCTGTCCTGATCTAATTAACAGTAAAAATACTCTATTTTGCCTCATGTAGCTCACAATATTAATCCCCCTTTTGTAGCCAATATTTTTAATTCCTGTTCTCAATTAAATTATTTCCAAAATATCTTTCCTTTGAAATTATGTTTTTGTTATTTAATCTGTAATTTTTTTTTTTCTTACGCCTTTTTTTAATTAACATTTAAAATTAATAATTAATAATTTTTAATTTTGTAAATTAAAAGCTTTGTTAGCAGTAATATTCAATATTTTTTAATTTCTCTTTATTTTAAAGTATACTAATAATAATTATTATTCTTATATCTGTTATACTTTTAGAACATAGTATTGTTACTATTATATTTTTTACTATTCGCTCATAATTGTTAAGTTGATTATTATTTTACTAAAGGCTATTGAAAAAAAAAAAATTTTAATTATGGTTTTTAGGAGAGTTAAAGTTAAATTATTTACAAAAAGTGTACATGGTCACTATGCAGACTTTTCAAATGGCTATTATGTTGTTGTTTGAAAATCATAACTCCTTGAAATATTCTGAAATTCAAGAATTACTCCAGTTGTCTAATGATCAATTTCAAAAGCACATTAATAGTTTAGTTGAGTGTAAACTTTTACTGATTGATGGTGATGTAAGTTCTATCCATTTTTTTAAAATTAATAATAGTTCATATTGCTGATAAAATAAATTAAAATGCAACAGATAGTAACATTAAATACATCATACACTAATAAACGTACAAAATTACGTATAACTGCTGCTCTTCAAAAAGATACACCACAAGAAATTGAACAAACGGTTAATTCTGTAGAAGATGATAGAAAAACATACCTGCAAGCTGCTATTGTTCGGATCATGAAAGCACGTAAAGTTTTAAGACATAATCAATTAGTGAATGAAGTAAGTATATTAAAGATAACTATCCTGTATTTTTATAAAATATTACTTTAAGAATTAATTTAATTATATATGCCTAGATATTATCTCAATCAAAGTCATTTGCTCCATCAATTGCATTAATTAAAAAATCTATTGAAACGCTTATTGATAAAGGCTACCTAGAACGTACTCCTAATTCATCTGATGGATATAGTTATGTTGCATAAATTATTTGAGAAATATATGTATATTTTTATAAATTTTATTTTTGTTTCTGTGTTTTTCAAATAACCTAGAATGGTTTTATTTAATGTAAATAATTAGAACTTAACTAATTTATATTTTTTCAATTTTTGTTCTTGTATACTGTGTACCTATATTAACTAAATAGATAATTTAGTATATCATTTTTTAAACAAATAAAAACAATTTTAATTGTACTATGTTATATATATATATACTGTACATTTTGTAACTTAAAATTTGATTCATTATTGAACAATTAAGTAGGTGGTAATATTAAGATTTTGTTAAATATTTAACGTTACAAAAATATTTATTATAGTAACATGTTTTTTTTGTTTTTTTAGATGTAAAAAAAATATAAAGAGATAATTATCATCTCTTATTTCTTAATTATGGTTATTTACAAAAAATATTTTGGAATTAAAAGTTAAATTCTTTATTCTAATAGATGAATTTCATATCTAAGTTTCACAAGTCACTTTTTTTTAAGTAATCTTAACACATTTTGAAAAAAAAAAGTGACTTGTGACAATTTACTACAAGTATACAGAAATTATTTTATACTCTTCAATAACCATTGTACCATCAAGTAAAATTATTGTCTTGTTTTATAATAACTTGATAGATAAGTTTTATAAAAATTATAGTAACCTGTTATTTTTAGAATTGTAATTTATTATTTGTTACCAAGATAAACAACAATTTATATAGTTATGATTAAAATATTAGATCAATTCTTTTTCTCTTCCTATTACCACAACCAGACGGGTACAAGGGTAACCATAGAAAATCTTATGATAGTATAGATAATATTACTATTCTTTTTTCTCATTTCAATTATAAGAAAACTTAAGAAAAACCTATTTGCTATTATAAGCAATCACTCAAGCGAACATAATTTCCATGGAAAAACTTCAATATCTAAAACCACTATTTTTTGTGCAAAAAATGCGTTTTTTAAAAATTCATGTTTTCCAAATTTTAAAACTAAAAATTATATATATACATATATTTTTTATTATTATTTTTTTTTAATAAAAAATGTTATAAATTATAATATTATAGTTTAAAAGTAAAACGATTATTAAAAACAAATAGTATTGCAAAATATTAAATAGATAAGTTATAAGAATTTTCAGATCATGCTGAACCACTCATGTATAATGCCATATACATATATAATGTACATGTATAATAATTGTTTACTAATTAAATTATACAATTATATTAATATGTATAATACAATTTGTTTATATACTACATAATATTAGTATTTATGAATTCATTCCTTCCCTTTTCCATCCCCCCTATATCACAAAATTACATTTATTATTATATAAAATATTTTTTTAAGGAAGGAAATACATTTACCCAATTTAGATTTTAACGAATTTTGCAGGTACTACAGTTGCTATCCGTAGATACGCCTATGATTCATATTAGAGAGCCTAAATAATTATTATTTCATTATAATAATTAATATTATAATGTTCTATCGTAACATTATATTAAAACATAATATTCTTTTGAATATACTATGTGCCGAAGAAATTTTTGTTTAATCTTACATTTTAGTAATAAATTATCTTAATAAATAATATTTTGAAGAAGCGTCCTCTAAAATTGGAAAATGTTTTATAATGAATCATTTGTAAGCAGGCATTTATAACACCATGTAAGTTTTTCAGTTAAATAAAAAGAAAAAAAATCAATGTGTTATGCAAGAAAATCATCAACCGAATCATATTGATACTAATCAGGACGCACTTATGCCGCTTCTTTAGAAGCTCGAAAGTTCTAAACAATCCTTGTCCATTACATCGAATAGAACGTATTATAAACGTGTATTGCTTACTGTGGCCTAGTTATTTAGAAGTAAAACAAAAACAAAACTATCTATGTTGTATAGACTGCATTGCTAACCGAATTATACTCATTTAATTATAACATTTTCAGTGATTTAATTATTTAATTAAATTTATTGACGTTCCAAGGTTAGTAGTAATATATTCATCATTCTGTAAAAACGATCATTAAATTTTAAACCAATTATGGGGTTTTTAAGGGAATGGAAGAAAAGGCGATTTTGGATATTTCTGATTTGCGATGCACCGAAATAGATTCTGGGAATACAGTACTCGAGGGATTATTGGGAGGAACTCATAATTTCGGTAAAAAAATATCGGCTACAATTAATTTTTTTACTATTGTATGATTCTTATGTGATTTTTTTTTTTTTTTGAGATTCTAAATTATTTTCAGAGTATAATAATGACGTAAGGACTAGTCTATCGATTAACTGTGATGACAATGATCAATCGTCAGAATCACTTAGCACTGATCAAAGTAATAATGTAGTCAACGCCAAAAGGAAACAACGTAGATACAGGTTATTAACATCTCAACACATAACCTCCACAGTCAAAATTAATTTACATACATTTGTTTAATAAAAATTTTATAGAACTACATTTACTAACTTTCAACTAGAGGAATTAGAAAATTCTTTTCAAAAAACTCATTATCCTGATGTATTTTTTCGTGAAGAGTTAGCTTTACGGATAGACTTAACAGAAGCAAGAGTACAAGTGAACTATAGAAATAGCTTCATTTTAATTTTTCTAAAGGGAAAATGTATTTTTATAATATGTCATCTATTAGGTATGGTTTCAAAATCGAAGGGCTAAATGGCGTAAGCAAGAAAAATGTTTAGTCAATCAGCATCAAAATCCACATCATGAACAAAATACTATTCATTCTTGCTTATCAGGTTTGCATTCATTTTCAATTATCTAACAATTAGCAAAATTATAGAAATATTCCATAGTTTTTTTCTTAACTTGTTTCGTTAGAATATGGTTAAAACTACTCCCGCAATTTTATTATGAAAAATTAATTAGATAACTTAAGTTAAAATGTTAGGGGAGATTGGGCGCATTCGCCCACCTAATGAAAATTTGCAATTCAAAGTATATTATTAAGAATTGAATAACGATTTGCATCTAAAAATTAAGATAAACTTATTGATTACCAATACCTTTGCTCATTTTTTATCAAAAATTAAAGGAATGGGTAAAATTTAGTAATTAGTAAATTAAATTTTGTATGTATTAAATATATGAGTTGGTAATACCGCCCATTAATTGAAAATTTTGTTATAACAATAAAAAAAAAAAGGCAAATTTATCTTTATAAAAACAATAGTATTAAACATAAACATCTTAATAATATTTTATTTATCCCTTTATCTCTTGATACATGTATACCAAAAATATCAGCCCCGGTTTAAGGATTTATAGGGGGGTAGGGCAAACGTTTCAGGGTCCATCTTGAATTTTACTAGTCTAGTCATGATTAGTCATAGAGCTTTTCTGGTTTTTTTTGCTCGTTACTTTTTTTATGGAAGCGATATTGTCCATAGGGTTCATCTAAAGTACTACTCTTCATATAGGTCTCAATTTAGCCTTGAACAGTATTTTTATTTCTTTTAAATATAATCTGTAATAAAATATAAAATTATTTAAAATATTATTAAATCATAGCATATCATAATTATACAAAATTTTACAAACTCAATGAAATAGTTAGAATAATATTACGAATATCAATAAATAGACGTAAACATTTAGTGGCCCGTTACCACTAACTCATACTTAACTTCTTATAGTTTTTTAACAAAGGAACTGATTTATATGCGTTTATAAATTTTGTTAAGATATTCCGAACATATAATCAACCTTTTCTTTTTTTTCTCCGATCGGCTTGATTGTGGACCGCCCTGGAACTACCGTTAGGTATTACTTCAGGGCGGCCCACGCCGTCTTTAAAACTCACACCACCACGTTAAAGCGAAGGGGGCACAAATAACTCACGAAACAAAAACATAAAAACATAAAAACATAAAACACAAATACCTAAGGCGCCGGCCTAAACCAGCGCCTCAGGTCCTCCTGTGCCGGGCGGCGAGGCTGCCTCTGTCTCAGGCGTTCCGCTTCCTCCTTCTTTTTCAAGATGGATTCGGCGAACGCCTGGACGAGCCTCCACGCCTCCCGGCTCCTCAACATCAGGTCCACCATGGACCCGACTCGGAACGTGGACCCTAGTCGAGACTCCAAAGAGTCCCGTTCCTGGGCCCACGCCTCGCACCGGAAGAGGATGTGCAAAGCGCTATCAGCCTCTCCCGGGCGATCCGAACAGTGGTCGCACGTCGGCGCGGCTGCTTTACGAATACGGTGTAAGTACTCGTTAAAGCAGCCGTGGCCGGACATCACTTGGGTGAGACGATAAGTCATCTCACCGTGAGTCCGGTCCACCCACCTGTCCAGCCGATCGGGTCCTATGAGGGACCTGGTCCACTCGCCTCTCGTTTCCTCCGAGAGGCGAGTCCGCCACCGGAACATGGTCATCCGCCTGAGCGCTAGCCGGTCCTCGGGTTCGAGGGACCGGTTTCGCTCTCGGCGGAGCTCATGCCCGGCGGCGCGTTCCTCGGCGAGCAGGTCGGCGGGCGGCAGTGACGACAGGATACCCGCCGCCACTCCGGACACCGTTCGGTACGCCGAAACANCCGCCGCCACTCCGGATACCGTTCGGTAAGCCGAAACTGTCCGGATCGCCGCCCGCCTTTACACCCTGAGCAGGGCTTCACGGTTTTTGGACGAATACTGAAGAGTATCCGCCCAAACGGGGGACCCGTACAGGAGAACCGAGTGTACGACGCTGACTAAAAGTCTACGCCGCATCTCTCTCGGCCCTCCCAGATCGGGCATGAGTCCCGCCAAGCAATTCATGACTTTCCGCTGAGCCGCACGGGTAATGTGCGGTCCGAACTTTAGACGTTTGTCTATGACAAGGCCCAGATAAGTCATGGAGTCCTTAAGCGGGATCTCCACCCCCAGCACGGCGAGCCGTGGAGGAGTGAACTTGTACCTGCCCGTGAACAAGACCGCTTCGGTCTTGTCCAGGGCGAGGCTAAGTCCACTCCCCTCCTGCTGGACACATAATCAACCATTACAAATTTTTATTAATTGGTTTTAAATCACAGTAATGTGCTATAACTGATTTTAGGATGTATTAGGGGGATTTATGTTTATAAAACGAAAAATATTTCTATGCTACTATATACTTCTTCAACTAAGTTACACAAACTTGGGTTCCTCTAAAGTGTATCAAATAAAATGAATAAATGTATCCGTATAATCAAGGATTATAGATATTTAATTCCAGTGAACAATTAAAATAATTTATATTTATAGGACGATGGTTTATAAATAAATAAAATTAAGTAAATATATAATAATACGCGCCCATTTGAAAAGTTAAAGGGATCCAAAGTCGGGACAATTTTTTTTTTTTGACTTATATTACGTAACAAGATTCAATTAGACATATGTTTAAAGGACGTAGTATTTACGAAACATTATCAAAAATTAAGTTAAAAAAGTTCTACTTTATATACGTATTTTTCAAAATTTGATCGGCCCTGTATAAAATGAAATTGTGCGATTTAAAAAAAAAAATATTTCGGACGAAAAGAATATATATATATATATGTACTATTTAGAAACAAAAATTTGTGTTGATCCATACATTTTTCAAAAAGTTATAGTAATTTAAAGTTGAAAATATAAAATCGAAAATTGTAACACAAAAATAGCATGTTTTTAGTTACGACAGCCATTTATAGGTATACTTATATACCTATATTTCGATAGTTGCTTTTCGATATTTCCCATCACAAGGATGATAATAATTTTACGAATTAAATATTAGTAATAGTCATTTTTTAGGACGTATAAGTCTTCGCATCGAAGCTAAAAGCTGCTATTTCGAGTATAATTTATTTTGGTATAACTTACAATTTCAAAATTTGAATGTATTATATTCAATAAGGTATAATAGGAGAATTAAAAAAACCCAGCACATGGGGGTCGCGGCACAGTGTTAACGTGGCATAGTTGGATCAAGTATAATGATAACTGACAGTGATTAAAATCACTACTATAAAAAATGCTTCGATGCAAAACTTTAGATAGTATTTAATTTTAAAAAACGGTACTACAGTGGGGTCGAGGCACAGTGTGGATGAAGCATAGATTGGACAAGTATAGATGATCTGCTATTTCCTTATTTATATCCTGATTAAGATAAAGTATGTCGAATGAAAGAGGGATATAAATATTATTTCTTATAAAAAAATTGTATTGATCCATACAATTTTTTAAATGTTTTAGTATTTTAAAGTAAAAAAAAACTCAGCAGAGTGATAAAGTTGTAATTTTGAATCACCCCTCGTGGGCAGGTAAAGGGTCAGATCTATAAAAAATATATATATTGATTTGTTCATTTTTAAGTTACGGCAGTTTTTAGTAAAAATAATTGAAAAAATATTGAAAATAAGCGGTTTTTTAAATTTGTAATTTTTTTGGTGATTTCCCCCACGGGGAACGAGTCAAATTTATTCAATTTTTGAGGTCCATGTCTTCGACTAGATACGATTTGTGATCTTTTGAGGTATCAATGAAAGAAATCGCTTAGGTGAGAGCTGAGAAAAAGTGGTAACAGACACAAAAAAAAAACACATCATAGTAAAACCAATACTTTCTCAGCTTCGCATCGAAGTTAAAATTATATATGAAGAGTGAATGTGTCAAACGTTCTATGTGCCAAAAAATTGAAAAATTGTTTTATTTCTGATTTATGTTCTATG